GGGCCGCGTTTTGCATGTCTTTCATAGTAGAGCGTCTACTGCAAAGCAGCTGAAGTCCTCGCACAATACTCCCGGGAGATTATGCCACGGCTTTTACATTCCAACTTCCACGAACCCCGTTTAAACTATGGGAGCTAGTAGGACTTCCGTCAAAGAGCACGAAATCAGATGCCCCCAAGCCTGCAGTCTCAAGCACAAATTGGGCTCGCTAAATGGGGAACCGGACCCAAACAGAGCAATTAACAAGTGTATCACGGGGGCCCCCTTTCATATTCCTTGCGACTGTCTTGAAACACTTCCCAAAATCTAAGATGCTGGCAGGCTGAGTCTGTTTCTGCCTGCTCCTTGGCAAACTCCGCGGTTTGCCTGTCATGAAGATACAAATCTAGTAATAGACAAATATAGTGATATAGTTACATATTACAATATTTCTATATCTTTTGATAGAAGATACTAATCTCGTAATATACTAATATAGTGATATAGTAATATATTACTATATATATGTCTCTATAGTAATATATTACTATATTGCTATATCTTTTGATATCTTTTGATAGTCTAAACTTTAGCGCAGGTCAAGGCTTGGGGCCGCAGTGCAGCAGTCAAACGATCTTCACAAACGAAACCGTCATGCTGGGTTCCGTCTGAGAGAGCAAATATGGTAACACAATACTGTACCAATAAAGTAATATAGTAATATATGAATGTATTAACTCGTAGTAGTAGAATACTATAATGCCATGATGCAGTATTTTTTCCGTGCCCTCCCTTCGGCGTTTATCTCTGTTTGGGTAAGATAAGGCCTACGAGGGATGATCATGATCATGGTGCTCTTGGAGGGAATGGGCCTTCATTGAAACGTATAACACCGCCACAAAGTAGGCAGGTTCTCCTTGACGATGCCGGGCGGCTTTCACAAGACAAGACTTGCTGTGCTCTTCCTATACCGACGAGGCTGCTAACCGTTCCAAGGCCTCATTTTGCACCGCTGAAAACATGCCTAGCTATCATCTATAGGATGGTATTATAGTATTATAGTACTGTAGTACTCCAGTAGCATATTACATTACTATATTATTAGATTGTCGTATGCCCGGAGTCAATACCAGCATTGTGGCTCGTCGATGCGCAGCGGCGTCGAGGTAGGGACTCCAGTCCGATTGTTGAGAGCTCGTCTACAACTCATGATCTGTGTACATATCTTATATGTCTAAGTTGGGGTCCCCTTCTTTTGGGGAACTACCAGAAACTCCCCCCCACTAAGAGATTCTTTCCTGGGACAGCCCTTAGCCAAGTGCGTTTCAGCTGTGCCTGCCTCTCGGTCAAGGTACCATTTACATCCTCAGCCGTCGGCCATGCAATGAGAAAGCAAAATCAGGACAAATAGTAAGATCTATACCAATCATCTTAACTTGGCTAACACTTGAAGTGCGAATCTAGCTGAACATTAGCATGCACGCCAGTTGGCATGACTAGGTCTAGGACCTAGAGTTACGGTCTACAGATATAATGATTGGAGGGCTATGTTCACTAATGCTCTAGACTCTAGGCACAGAGTCCATGTTTTCACCACTGCATCGTGAGAGCTTGAATACGTCAGTTGTTCTCCGCAACTTTGCATGTAGCGATGCCACACAAGCCCTGAACTCGGTTCTGAACCCAATGCAGGTCCCTACAGTTGCTGGACAAGATCCTTCACGACCCTAGGCCCTAGTACAACATTTGTTCACACCTCCTAGACTCTAGGCTTATTATTTTGGGGATTTCCCCCGGTTCACCCCGGTTCTCCATAAATGAAAAGAGCTCCGTAAGGGGCAGCTCAGGAAGCAATGCCCGCGCCTTCATTTCTTAATAAACTTCAGTAAGCAAATCAGGTTTCTGAATTGGCTTTCCTATTTTCATGTTGAGAGCGGCCAAGCAAGTGAGTCTACTTTCTTTTCCATTTGATTCTCCATTATTGGTAGGGTAATATCCCCACACTCTAAATCCTTAACCCTAGCTACTGTAATGTTTAGGCCCCTATTAGAACAACCTTCCAGGCTCCCAAACCCGAAACCCAAAACCTAAAACCCAAAACCTAAAACTCACAACCCTAACCCCCAAACCCAAAACCTAAAACCTAAAACCCAAAACCCCAAACCCGAAACCCAAAACCCAAAAACCTAAAACACCAAACCCCAAACCCCAAAACCCAAAACCCAAAAACCTAAAACCCTAAACCCCAAACCCCCAAAACCCTAAAGCCAAATCGTATCTTCGCCAGGCCGCTGCCCCTGTGACCACCCTGGGGGCAAGCGCTTCTTCGCAGGCATCCAGGGATTCAGAGAAGGAGCCTCAGCTCTTGGCTTAGGGTTTAGGGTTTAAGGTTTAGGGTTTAGGGTTTTAGGGATTTAGGGTTTAGGGATTAGGGTTAAGGGATTAACTTGAAGGGTTTAGAGATTAGGGCTCGGAGTTTTGGGTTGAGAGCTGTGAGTTTAAAGAAGGTTTAAGGATCAGGGTTTAAAGTTCAGGGATTAATTTTAGGTTTCAGGGTCTGCTCTGTAGCATGCTGAATGCGCCAAAGGTTACAGCCAGATATGGCCATGGCTATATTCCCCACTTTAAGTAAACCTCAAAAAACCCTAAATCCCGAACCGAAGAAAAAAAACTAAACCACAACAAAAACCTAAACCCTAAACCGTGTCCATGAGCTTGCGCGTACAGCAGAAAGCTTTGAGAGCTTTCAAAAAAAGGAGTGAAGGCTTGTCGCTGTGGGTTAGCGTTGAGGTTAGGGCTTATAAGTGCAAGTTAGAGCTATAAGGGCCCAGGGTGTAAGGCTTGCGGGGCTTCTGGGACTGATGGCGTAGGAGCTTTTTCGGGCACCGAAAATCGAATACAAGCTTTGCGCTTAGTGCGATTCCTCCACATCACAAAGTTGTGTTGTGCCACAGAGGTGCGCTTTTCGAATCTGAGCGACATATTGTGGAGAAAAGTAGTGAACCACAAGATTGCTCCAAAGCAACATATGAGGTTGCCTAGAGAAACACAATTGAGGGCGCGCAGCCCATAAAACAACAACGTAGCGCGCACAGGCAGAGCACATTCTCACCGCGCAAGCTCTGAGTGGATTTACGCCTGGAACGTCACTGCTCTCACGGGTTCCTGTAGCAAGGACAGCGTGTGGAATCAAGCCCTGACGCTGCAGATGCAAGCCATTGCTTTCAGTCAGGGAATTGCTTTGCTAACAACCTGGACGTCGTCAAGCTTCTGGTCTCGTAAGACCTGCCATATTGTCGCAATTCCCCTGCCAATCTTCATCGTCTACGCAGCTGTACAAAGAACACCCTGAGGCCAAAAGGCCTCCTTGAGTTATCATCACAAGTTCAGGTGATGCTGATGGTAGGGGGCTGTAGTAGATCCACAGTACGAGTAGCATGGTTCGGACATGAAGAGGTACACTTCTTGGATTGAGTGGAGAATCGAATCCACAAATAAATGGAAACTGGGGGGAATATAGGGATTTAAGACTCAGCTGCAACATCAATACATATTCATGGCAGACATTGATCGCTTTCCACTTACCAGTCGCTAGACATGAAGCTACAACTGTAGCTGTCCAGAAGGTATGGGGGGGTCCTCAAAATGAATTCTAAGCCCTAAACTAAACCCTAACCAAAACCCTAAACCCTAAACCGATAGAATTCCTCCAAAAAGACTCTCATAGTCCAGTTACAGCTCCCATTGGATCACCCCCTGGACCCTAAAAGTGCAAGCCCCCCTCCCCATGTTGCAGAAGAGTGGCCGACTCGTTGATCTCGTAATCTGACATGAAGACCTACGCTTGGGTTTAGGGTTAAGGATTGGCCAATAATACTACAATTCTTAGGGTTTAGGTGCTTTACATGTCTATTTTTCTATGGGCATCTAGGATTTAGTGCATCAACAATATGGCAGTCGTGGGGTTTGGAACTCCCCAAACTTCTGCAGGAGGCAGGTTTATGCTTGATGGCGGCCAGTTGGGGGGGGGGGGGGGGGCATTGGGTTCAGGGGCAAACTACCAATGAACACAAGCAACCAAAGCAACCAAACCTACAAAGTAAA